TCATCCAAGACGGTTTAATTCTCCTCTTATTCTTTCGCTTTGCCAGTCGGCGAGGAACGATAGCCTTTCATGCATGCGTGGAGCCCCCCTCCCTTTCATGTCTTTTTCCCAGTCAAGAAGTCGGATTAGTCAATGGCTAATGCGATTGTGATCATTCGCTTTAACTTTGGTGAATCGTTACGGAGTTTCTGCCACTGTTGCGAGGTAGGTAATCTCCCATGTCCCGCTAGATTAACTTCTTCATGTTGGTCTGCAAGGTCTTCAGAATGAGGTGAAAAGAAAGAGGGGGTAAAACTTGTTAAATGCTCGGGTGATCAATATCGAGTTATCAGGCTCTATTCATCATACCCAGTTGAGAAAACGAAAGTGAGAGAGAGAAAGAAATCGAGATAAAAATGATAGAGAGAAAAGAGAAGACAGAGAGAGAGAGAGAGAGAGAGAGGGAGAAAGAAAAAGTGGATAGGGAAAATGACAGAGAGAAATTAAGCAAGCAAGCAATACCATAAGAGCCGGCAGATGGGATGACGAGATGACGATATGTGAATGATGGGGCTTGGTGGATCCAACTATAAGAAGCAGCATTTTGACATAATTATGAGAGATGTATAAAGATGAAAAACAAGTATGATTAGAAGATGAGGGGAAGAGAGAAAATAGAGAAGGGGGGGGGGGTATCATTTCATGACACATTTAGAAAATGTCTTACATATGTGTTTCATAAGCGACAACTTTCTTTTGTCCATGGATGATATTTCGAACCTTTACTGTCTTGTAGGTCCATCTAAAATTAGAATCAATGCCGGTTGTACTGACAGATTCTTTCTGACTAACGTCCAAGAAAGAAGCATCAAATTAAATCTGTCAACCAAAGTCACGAGTCATTCTCAATTCCAAATGTTGCCAATGGATCATCCAGACAATTGAGACGCATTTAATTGATCATGGTCATTATACTGCACACACCCAAGTCACCCGTGCATGTTACATAACATCGCGGATGTAACCACTTTTACTCCGGAACTTTATCATTCCTCTCCAGCTCTTGAGCTTTCGACGTGTAACGTTTTTCGTTTTCAAAGAAGTTTGGTTGCTACCTGTCAAGTTGTACGATCACAACCTGTTCATTATCATGTTTCCAGAAGAGGAAACAATAAGGTTGAAAAGGGGGAAAGCAGGAATTGATAGCCGGTTGTAGCCATGGTAAAAGAGGATACAGTGAAAGTGATTCGATACATGTTCAGAATCAGATCCGCTGTTCCGGTTATTCGTGATGACATGGTTACTATGGCAACACCATCATCTACACAAATGAGGGCGCATCCTAAGTAGAGTGATTTATGAAATGGTAGCAAGGCTTAAACCCATTCGATTATCAGCACACTAGAAAGAATAACACATGGTATACTTAATTTCTACAAAAAAAAAACATATCGAAAGTGTCATGATTTGTTATTAGATGTTATGGCAAGACACCAGAGTTCACCTGGGGTTATGTTTTTTAAGTTATAGAAAATAGCTTAAGTATCTCTAACTTCTTACTAGCGATTATACTACTCTTTATTCAGTGTGTGAAAACTGACAGTTCAAGCAGTATACTAATGTTCAGTTCTTTAGATAGTATGCCTTTTTTCTTCTCTAACTCTCTTTAAAGGCAGAAGTTAAAAGAATTTTCATTCTAGATAAAAACTAGGGCAGATCATATCATTTCATGTTAGTTCTGAAAGTATTCTCTTTCACTCGTCTCTCGCCAGCGTAGGTGCGGGGGCTACTCGCCATCCGTCATCCCGTTCTGACAATCTATTTATTTTTCTTTGATCAGGGCTAAAATCCCCGTAGCCCCCCAAAACATAACAAAATATGTCTATTGAACTTGAGATTTTTAGCTCCATCACCTGTTGGTCTCTGAAGCACGCATCGACAGCCTTGGCCTTGGCAAAGGAAAACGAAAATCGGGTTCTTATATCACCCGATAATCCCTCTACCTCCAAAAGAGACGAAGAAAATGTATCAATCGCCCGAGGGAGTTGGACAGCATTGTAGGTGTTGTGTGACGGCAGACGACACAATGCGTAAACATAATGGAAGGAGAAGAGAAGGAAAAGTTTGCATTTTTTGGCGCGTTGTGCGGCGGAGCGAGGGAAGAGATGCACGCAAACAAATGCATTAAAAGCGAGAGTGATGACAACATTTATTCCGTGGTGCACGAACGCCAAATCTGAGTAACTCTGAGTGCTAGAATATCTGCAAGTCCCCTATTTCCTTGTCTACTATTCATTATGGATTAAAGAGGGGAGGGGGGGGGGTCACATACGACCAATGTCCCCCTTTTAAAAACTCGAATGGCATACCTTAAAATACACAAGACCAAGAGTGTGCCCCCTTTATTTGTCAGTTATTCTGGATCCGCTTGCCTGCACAACAGTAGTATGAAATGGGGATGGGTCAAGGAGAGGGGAGGAGGTCTCATAAGTAATCCGTATTCAAAATTATATTATTTTGTATCATTAGTGCTTGCGGTTACTAATTACTTTTTTAAATAAATTTAATGGACAAAATATTCATATATTTTCTGCAGCGCCTTGTTCTTTTCCCTCGTTCTTCTCGTCGTCCTTCCCTTAAATGTCTGATGAAACATCGCGTGATGGATATACATTTCAAAACCAAAATATCTTGTCTCCGTTGATTTCCTTTCCTCACCATACCATCCCTCGACCTTGACTTTTAGCGACGCCCTTGGGGCATTGTTTTTTCTGGGGGATCCCACCCTTTATATTCTTTTTTCTGAATTCTTAAGGTCCAGAAAAGTTTCAAAATGGACCAAGGCTGTCTTTCAAGAAGAACTGTCTATGGCGTGGGAAGAGGATGACAGAAAAGTCAGAAGTGTACCCACTGTTACCAGAATTTATATATTATTTTGTCTCTTTGTGCTCGGCATGAACTACTCTGACTATGAATTTGCAACTTTAATATGAAGATCCCTCAATTTCTTTACAAAGGTCGCAATAAACGATGATATTTGAATTTCGGTGGTAGGTTTTAAAGCAGTTTGCTTGATCATGTTTTCTTCTATTAATCGTTTCGTACTCGTTGTTGGTGTATTGATTACAAATAGTGTTGAATTTTATTTGATTTAAATTAGACTAAATTAGAGAGACCCATAACAGCAGGCGTTGCAGAACAACTCTATCACTAGTATTAAATCGAGGGCTACACTTGCTCGACTAACAAAACTTTCTACCTCATAGGCCTATTCCTAATGATCTGAATTACACCAATCTCAGATTCTTTGCACTTCCCCCACCCCTCACCACTCAGAGTAATCTTCAAGTCAATTTATCAACGAATGTCTCGCTTCTCTTGGCTCTTGTCTTGCCCATAAATTCATAATCATCATGAATTCCGCGAGAACCAGACAGCGAACTCGCCCCCTTTTTTTCGGTGAGGGTTCACGCTGGTCTTCGCTGATCGAGCCCCAAATTACTCCGCTTACCCGTCGTGCAACGTATATATATATACGGGTCTAACCAAGGAGTTATATCTTTAGACGCAGCGGGTTAACGTCTCTTAACGTGTTTGTGGTCAATCATACAAACCAGCAGGATATTAAGAAAAACACGTGATATGACAGCTGAAAATGAAAAACAACAACAACAATAACAACCACAAATCAAGCCAGGCAGTCTCCCGAAAATGAGAGATGAAAATATGAAAAAATATACAATAAATCAGAGTAATAATCGCTTTTAAAAGTTTATCAGGTATATGGCTTGCATCAAATAAAACGTTGGCGAAGTATAGTGATGCAAAATGGTAAAATCATCGGAATAGTAGCACAGAAAGTAAATAAAAACGAGTAACAAATTGGAAAGGGGTACGGAGACGAAAATACATGATATCGTGCAATTTTACTTTGCAATAAATTATCTAAAATTATCTAGGTTCCTTTTCCTTAGCAAAGATTTTCCCTATTTAGATTTGCCATTTATAACAGAAACGTATAATCTAAGATATGTGTATAACGCGAATAACATGTAGCATCGAAATTGGGTATCTTTCAAAATCTGCTGCAATGAGCATGCAGTTACGCTTTGATATTTCTATCACGGTACAAACCTGTTCTTGATGTAGCTATGGAACGCCATGCAGGGTTTCCGATACTAATAATTATCGACAGGGAGAGAACCGCGAGATATCTCGAACATACACACATCTGCGGACACATGTTGGCTTGGTTTACCACTTTCTACATCTTTCCTTCTCTCTCTCTCTCTCTCTCTCTCTCACTCTCTCTCTCTCTCTCTCTCTCCCTCCCTCTTTCTCTGTGCCCCCATCTCCCTGTTTCCTACTTCTCTCCAGCATGTGGCGGAAATGTCGGACTGCTCATCTTCCGACCCTCAACTCATTCTAACTCTAAAGGTCTTCCCACCCCGTCCACAATCTCCACTTGTCCCACCGTGACTTTGCAGAATGATACCACTTTTCTTCACTTTTCGTGTCACGCCATCGTTGAATGCGTCCACATTGGCTGACATGTTTTAAATCAACCTTAACACATATCGTTTGATACACTTAAGTCTGGTTTAAATATATGTTTGTAACAACCACGTGACATAAATTGCTGCAATTTTACCGTTGTAAAAAAGGGAACGCAAGATAATCTTTAGTGAATTCAACAGGACGTAAGGTAAGGGACACTCTATGCCCTGTTTCCTCTTCGGCAGATGAAGCTTTAATCATGCTAGTAACTCCATGATTTAATAATGTAATTTTTAGAAGGCATTTTTCCCCCTAATATATGAATTTGTTTTACTTTGCATAGTTTTAAAGAGATAATCATTTCATTTACCCAATCAGCATGATTTATCTAGAAGGATACAACCAACCTGAGTAAGAACGACTTTTGCCATAACTCCAGTATTAGAGATCCGCAAAATATGAAATTCATATCATATTTTGAAACAAACAAAACTGTTCATTTTCGACATTTCTATTTTATTCAGGGAATGCGCTCAAGTCCATCTACCACACACTAAGCAGGACATGCAACATAGTTGACTGCTGCTCCGGTGTCCGCTCCTGCAACCAGTTTGTCTTTCCCTGCATCAGATGCTGCTCCTATGGCAACAGAAGAGTCTTCTACAACTACGACGGAACGGAAACCGTCCAACCTCTCGTCGATTATTTCAAACCTTCCAACAAAGTCGCCAAGATGAATCTCGTAAAAGGTAAGTGTTCCTTTCTTTGAAAATGAGATAAATCGGGGCTCCACATTAACCCGTTTGTTGGGGGTCCAGAATTACTATTCTGCAAAAAAAAAAGAACGTCTGGCTAATATTGGGGTCCTTGTGTACCCTACCTGTGTTCGTGGTGTACCACGGATTATTGTGTGTCTTTGATTTATCAAACAAGGGAACTTTAACCGTTATTTCCCAATGAGAGCGTTGAGCCTTCTGAGTAATTAGCAGAACGAACTGATATAGTAATAATATGGAGTTATGGACATGGTGACAAATCATTGATGCACTTCTCGTTGCTTACCATGCTAACTGCGCTACGTTCTCGGTATGTATAACGTGTTGGTTTAACCAGGGTTCTAGCTGTTCCAATCAGAAATACACATCTTAATGCAGGCAGCATGCGTTTCAGATATTCCCAGGGTTCAAAAGTGCAGAAAATAACAACCACCATGTTTCATATTAACGCGTTACTACAACATGACTCAGGAACTTTCGCGCCAAAATTCTTCCCACCATGTCTTGCCTACCGTTTCCTAGTCACCCGTACTTTTAATCCCTTCAAGGGGAAGTCGGGGATAGGCCTCCGAGGCATCCCCCCTCTTCACACCTCTTGCGGCATCCTCCGATCCTCACCACAGAATTATCCAAGTCGAGAGTATCTCGAGCGAAAATCTGGACGTCTTTTTGATGTTTGATGCCTAACCACAGAGAAGAGGCGGGTTTGTGTGCCAAACCGTCAATAGGAAGAGTTGGTCCAATTTACGAAACAGTCACGGCGCGTCAGGAGCAGAGTTCTGTGAGTCCCCTGGAAGACTGTTCGATGCGTAGGACAGCACGACGCAGGAGAACTCAAGGCGAGCGGACGCATCATTGACGGCTGTTATTGACAAACACTAAAGTGGTGTTGACACTTGTAGGAAAGAACATCGATAGGAATCTTCGCGCCCTCACCGGAGACGGGTGTCGGAAATGGAAAACGATAGGTTTGGGAATTGAAACATTTCGGGCCTGTTTTTGTTCGTCAGGAGAAAAAGAGCTGCAGAGGAGAAACCACGAATGCTCGGAGGCTTTAATGTTAAAACTTTGTTAACTTTCTGACATTTTGTTGGCCTTTCCCCCTCAAGTTTTCCATATTAAGCTCAACAAGTGGCAAGAGTTGTAATAGCGAATTGGCATTGGAGAAGTACTCATGCCTCGGGTTTCAAGTATTGTCATTCCATCTGGTGAGAAGGAGAAATAATTAAAATATTACCGGTAGCGATTCGTCGAAGGCACAGGAAACGAACAATCAGTTGCCCAACTTATTGGACAGGAAGGCGAAGTTATTGAGATGCAAGCATCGGCAAAAGGTACTACTGAGCCCATGCTTCAATTATGTTTTATGAGGAGTAAACAAATCAGCATAAGCCAAACGTAATTGGCTAATGAAGTTGCAATAAATGAGGGTAAAGGCTGAAAGGAAAATTTCTTTATGGGGAGAGAATAAAACGTAGGGGAAACGGGAGGGATTGCATTGTGGTGGCCACTGTAAATAACACCATAATAAGGACGTCAAACACTTCTACTTGAATGAAATGAAAAGCGGAAGCCGATGGAATTACGTCAATGTGGTAGCCAATAATACACAAGTGCTTTTACCTCTCATAATAATTGTTCTCTGCCATTTTGAGGAAAGAGTAGAAGAGGGTTGTGAGTTTTGGAAGGTGCTTAATTCAACAGTGGTCTTTTGCCGAAAGCCGCAAATCCGCCGCTATTGATTTTGCGTTTCCTCTGTTGACGCCCCGAACGCAATTCTTGAATAGTGAGAGAAAGTTAATAGACATGAAACAGATCTTTTTGGCCAGTAGAGAACGAAAGGAGAAAAGAACATGAAGGAAATATATATCAAATGTGCAATTAAACCTGATATCATCGACATCAATAAATGCCAATCTTATGGAAGGCGTAAAACTAGAAAAAGCAGGAAAACACGCGATTCCCATTTTCCAAATGATAAGCATCGTCAACTTCAAATGGCTTTTAAAAGGGCAGACATATCGAACTAGTTTCATAAGATTAACACATCTTTATGATAATCTTGTACAATTTCGATTTGATTGATTGATGTTACATTTAAAATTATTCTGACAACATCTAATTTCCAGCACAGATTTGCACTTCCATTTCCATGCACTTTGCATTTCAAACTTTACTTTTGTGATAAAATTCACTTTTCTCTCTCTCTCTCTCTCTCTCTCTTTTCTCTTGCTCTTCCTGTTTCTATACTCCGAGTTCAATGTGTTATTTGCCTTTGACATATTACTGTTTTACAGCCAAATTCTCTCCCCCTCTCTCTCCCACACACACACACACACATACAACCACACACACACACTTTCTGAACGCACATACACTTGCTTTCCTCTTTGCCCATCATCTCTCTCATCATATTCCCTTCTTTTCCACACTTTTTTGTTAAGCTAAATCACTCTATATACTAGTCGTTTGCTAATAACCCTTATTTAACCTCACCATATGGCATACCCCCTCCCCGCCTCTTCCTCCCTCTCCCCTCTCTCCATCTCTCTTTTTGTCAAATTCCCTTCCCAGCCCCCACCCCTCCCACATCTCCCTCCCAAACTTCCTTATTCATCCCTTGCGAATCCAAAAGCCTAGTTTTATAATGACCTTGACATCATTTTGATGATACACCAGAGATGCTGCACATCCCTTGAGTATATAGGAGATGGCAGGAAATCAAGATCAGGGGCAGATTTTCGTCGTATTTCGGCATTTTCATCCAAGAAATCCGAAACCGGCTTCTAATTTGTTTCAGGGCTATTTTGTTTCCTCCTATCTCCAACAATAATTTAACAACACGTTAAATCTGCTTGTATAATAGATAATTCATGGCAGTAGCAACGAAAGGAAACTCAAACTGAAAGGATACAGAACAGTCGAAAAACATACCCAGCAAATAATTCCATACCTGGAATTTAACCCAGATACGTGAAAATGATATCAAAGGGACTCCCAGGGATAAATCTCATGTCTACATTTGGAATATTCCTCAATATGAAAATAGAATAATATTTACAAGACTTATCCGTGTTTGTGCTGGCATTGGTGTTTTTGGAAGCAAATGGAAACCATGTAAATGGTTGTGCGTAGACACTTTGAAGTTATTTTTAGAATATATCTGGCGGGCTATTGTTTTGGTTGTTGCTTTGGACGCCATTTTGATCTTTTGAAGCATTAGCTCGACAATCCTAGGGCAGTCTTAGCCTATACTTCGTCCACTTGCAAAAGGATTGGTAAAGACAGCAAAATGAAACGACATTTTAAAGGTCTTTTAGTCCACTTTTTGTAGTTATTTACTTGATGTAATGGCGTGTAAAGTGTCAGTTGACAAGGTAGCTTTTTAGTAAATGTCATATTCCAACTCTTTGAATTTGTCAATTTTTATTTCAAAAATCTATTTAGAGTCGATGAGAGGACTGCATTAGGAGACTCGTTGGCATTTCGTTAACTGTTTGTAACTTTTTTCGTCATAAGCAATTGTCGGTCATAAGGAAACGCTTCTAGAGCGGAACACATCTGCAGGAGATAAAGACGTGTTGTACATCGTTGCGTGCGCGTAGAGTCGTCGGCGCAAGTTATCTCCCCACAGCAGATATCGAGGGTGTTGCGTTTTACAGACAAACCATTTCAGTCTGTTCTGAGAGCTCGCTTGCTATCTTCCTCAAACAGGCACGTACGACTCTTTTTAGGTTACGGAAGGGACGGAAAATTTGGAAATGTCTTTGAAAGTGAAGAGGGCAAGATAATACCTCAGCGGCGACTTAACTTCGAACACACGATGACGGGCAATGCAATTCGCCTGCAGCAGTAGCACAGCTGTTGCAAAAATCATACCATATTTCCCTTCTCGCGCGCGTTTTACCTCTCACCAAGAAGTTACTTCTTGCTCTCACTCCAGTAAATTTCACCCAAGCGCTACACTCTATGGAAACGTTTGGAAGATTATTCCATTCTCTCACCCTCTTTCTCTCCTCTTTCCATCACTCTGTTGGGCTGATGGGAATTCCATGCTAATTCTTCCTCTCTGACAGCCAGTTGACATTTCGACATATTTCGCCTGCCCTCAAGTTCAAGGTATGGTGCGTGTGAGTTGTTTCTTGCACACGTGGTTACCCCTCATTTGAAACAAGGCACCCGGTAGCCCTCCCAAGTTTATTTCTCTTTTTTTGTTTTTTTTCTTCTTCTCCCTTAGTCGATCCTCTCATGGAAAATAAATAACCGTAACTTTTTTACTGTGGATATCATCACTTAAGTTATTACAGTGAACGAATTTATAAGTCATACATTAAGCATAATTACTTGCCTCAATCAAATAAGATGGGAAGCGCACTGTATGTTTTAATTGGTTTACGCCTATATATACACACTTCACACACATACGCACACGCACACCTATAGACAGAAAAAAGAAAGTATGCTTACACAAAATTTCCTAATTTTTACGAGGTGAGAAGTCTGTAAAAGTATGGTTCATGAACAAAATATTACAAATTCTTTAGGTATCTCTAGTGTGAGAAAACATGGTACAATAAATAGTACACTACTTTAAATTTTGCTCTATTTTGAAAATGGTAATAAAGGGGTTTTATGTGAAAGGAACATGCACATGAATCTCCTTTTAAACAAACCTGTAAAATGCACATACAAACAGAGTGACTTACCCCTACCGATGTAATATGTGGCGCCTGGTGACCATAATATGTATCAATTATCTATCATGATGCTACTGTAACATTAAATATATACTTGCTCATGTAAGAAATAGAACTAAATCGCATCACAACCTATCAGCTAAAGCTTTTTTCTTAAAACTTTAATGTACATCATTGCATACCATTTCTAAAACTTTATCTTTCCCAATTCAAGTAGCAGTAGGCGCTGGCAATGGGTTTGTAAATGGCGCTAACGCATGTTGAACACGCACGATCTTTGCGATGCATTGCATGGCGCGAACATACAATCTCAAGGGCAGAGTAAATTGCTCGTTAACTACAGATACAGGAGCGCTTTTCCAGGGGACGGGAATCGTTATTTAGTCTGAGAAAAATCCCCAGTCACCCCAAAGTACTTTGAACTAGGATCCAACGTTATGGACGGAGAGAGGGGGAAAGTACCAATTTGGGGGAACCTATTGGTGTGGCAATGCTGTCATAAGGGGTTGGCAACAATCCCTTTTTATATCATAACGAATAATTATGTAGATCATGACGATAAGTACCTCGCGTACACTTCATACTAAATTTGTGAACGTTATGAAGATAGTGATAGACTATAATTGTAAAGCTAGTTTATACCCCGCCCTTAGGCGTAGCTACGGGGATGGGGGAGGGGCGCACAGGGCAATTAGTCAGAATGAAATATGAAAATAAGATAATGATAACACGGCCCCTTCCATAGACTCCTTCAATGTTTGGTCTTGTTATCTCGCGTTTTATTTTCTGAAATATTTCGGGGGCCCCTTCCCCTGATGACACTCGTGCCCCCTCACTTAAAGCCGGACCTACTCTACGGTACGCTAAAGCCCCTCTCGAATTTTATATGAAATAGTCATGCTACGCCAACACACATGGTCACTTTATTGTGAATGGGAAATCATTTTTGATTGGGGTGATTTGTTTTGAAGTCACGGGGATTTACACCAACACACCCTGGAGACGATGGTTGCTTTCGGTAGCTGCTGTGAGAGGAATCATTGGGATTCGTGGAAAGAGGCACTTTTGGCAGTTCGCCAACATTGTTTGATACTTCTGGAAAACATCCCGTGACCATGATAACATCTTTCTTGATCTTTCTCTTGAAGACGTTGGAGAAATTGAGCGGAAGGTACTCCCGCATCCACTATTTGAATAGACTATGCAAACGCGCCGTGAGGTCGATTTACAAGGATGAAAATATCCAATACCAGCCTACTGCAGATCTACCCCAAAAATAACCGACAATATATCGTTATTCCATATAAAAAATCTAAAACGTAGTGAGTAGCCATCGGTTTCATATTTACGACACATTCATTTAAGGCCCGGTATCAAAAAGATACCAATGATTTAAAAGAATGGTATTGCAATTACCATGAAAAGCGTTTGGACGTGAAAAGAACAACCCAAATACTTTCAGAACATTCTTCAGAAAGTTGTGGAACATGTCTCAATGTGGCTACCATGTACAACTGTTATCATGGTTGTCAAAGTGTTTCTGAACGTCGTTAGAACATTAGGACTTCAGGTTTTCCAATTAGGCAGACTAAAACAAATACATTTATCTCCAAAATAGGTCAGTTTAATAATTTTAGATCACTTTAAGGCATACTTCTAAAATCACCTTCCGCCAGATTCGATGAGGATGAAAGAAAATTTACGACGTCAGTCGTTAAAGCGCACTTATGATAAATAGCTCTTCCCAAACACTTACAGATATGTTTATAAAATTGGAGGCGATGATCTGAGATTTACTCTCACAATGGTGTCGTCATAAGAGGAGCATAAAATACAGAAAAATAGAGGACCACTTTTGAGTGTAAATGTCACCTTGACATCATTGGTCATAAATATTCATTGGGGTGCTTTCTGTTGATATTGCGAATGTTATGTCTTGTTTTATTGTCGTGATCATCTGCAGAAGACGTGATATTCTGTTGAAATAGATGGAGAGGATGGAAGCGTGTCATCGGATTGATAGTCACATGGCCGACACGAGAAAACAGATGAAAACCCAATGAAGTCTAAAGTAATACTTTATAAAGTAATATCGTGGATATGGTGCCATTGTGTGAAAGCATGGAACTGTGATGAAAGTCGTAGTAGGTCCATGGTGAGAGCATGGACCTACGATGCGAGTCGAATGTCAGCAAATTTAAAGGGGAAATTTTTTACATGTTCCTGTTTATCTGGACTCTGGTCCTGATAAAAATTATCATATTTGATCAAAGGGCAGGGAAATCCATGATACCCCTGCACCTTATTACCTCCACCCCTTAATATCAATGTATAACAAAATGATGTAGGCACCAGTGCCATTTGTATAAGTGATACAACATTAATAACAATCGATTAGCTGAAGAACGGTTTCAAAATCAGCATTATTATGTTGCTTTTATCTTGGGTATATATATATATATATATATCTCAATTACCTCACTCGAGGAACCCTTATCCAAGACCAAGGATCCCCGTGTGGTAATTCCTTCGAATGACGATACTCTTCCGATCACCTGATTATTCCCAAGGTGCTATAGGCCTATGCCTATGGTGGATTCATGAATCTCTCGCATATCACAAGTCGAGAAAATCTGTGACGAAAGAGAAATACAGTTTAATATCATGCGCTTTTTTCTTTAAAACTCTCCATGTGCCTTCCCTGGCAGTACGACCCTTCCGTTTGAATCCGCAGTTGCATGATGCAATATTGGTATTGGTGATCACCTGATCACGGGATCCCATAATCATACGGTTCGATTTGAAAGTCGACTAGGTGAGGGTTTGTGAAAAGACTCCCACGTGGTATTGACGTGCACCCATCGTGGTCTTAACCAAACCCAAAGAGGACCTACTTCAACCCCTGACACCAACCATCACAAATCTTCACGCCTTTCTATCGTATCATCAGCATAACCGGCACCGTTTACAATAGTTGCTTGGATGCCGAAGCTTAGGAATCCGACCTCTAAGAGGAGATGCTTCACCTCTATATGGCTCTTGACATCCAACATCACAAATCTTCACGCCTTTTTATTGTATCATCATCATAACCGTCACCGTTTACAATAGTTGCTTGGTTGCCGAAGCTCTTAAATCCGACCTCTAAGAGGAGATGCTTAACCTCTAGTAGATAGCTTTTGACAAAACGCAAATCTTCCGGCCTTTTGAAGATCACATTTATTCTTGGATGCCGCGAAGCGTAGGAATGGCAGAGGACTTGATAAATCATCGATACATTCCATTGAGACTGATGTGTATTTGTACGAATAATACAAATACTAAACATTTCAAGAGGTACGATGAGATAGGTATGATGAGATATCAGGGTGTATTGATACAGTCCAGTCCCTGCACGGGTCGGTTTGTTTCAAATGCTTTCTGATATTAAAGTATATGACCGAGAAATCCATTCATTTTGTGGAAATAAACCATATAGGATTTATTTAATAAAGGAAGTTATAATCAATGTTTATGATTTAAAATCATACCGATTCTGGAATAGAAAAATCAAGTTTCGTTTGATTTTGCCATAATCATTCGAATACTGTCTCTGAATGTGAGAGACAAATACAGTAGATGTACGCCTTAGCTTTTCATTTTTTTTTCTGTCCCTCAAGAGGAATTCGGCTGTAATTATGGAAACATTTCTGGCCTAGTACTCTTTTTGATCCTTTATGAAATCAATCAAGTGGTTAAATCATTACCAATCCTTAATTTTTTATAGAGAAGGAAACCATGAAATTCACCCAGTCTGTGGGACTAATCAGCATTGCTACCTTGCATCTTGGCCATGGGTCTCCGGGTCGGTTTAAGGACTCCCCAGAAAGCTGCTCATTGCCACAGCGTTAACGTGCTAATTAGGGGTGATTGGATATCACTTCGGACCTTGGCTGCTTATTAACGCTTTGTCTGGACACTAACGACTCCATGGAGAGTCCAGTCAGGCCTTAATGGGGGCGCAAACATCTAACGATGAGGCGGTCTTGTTAGCAAACACGGGATCAATACTTTGAAGCGCCATGCCTGGCCACACGCTACGTCCTAAGGTCATAGCAATGTGTCTTTGGCAGATCATGTCACCGTATAGATATACATTGTGGTGATACCTTGAGGTATGTCGCAAAACACTTCTCAGACATGCTGAACACCATTACACCATGGGGCCCTTCTTACTGAACACGAGTACATAAATACCAGCATGATTACCAGGCACACGAAGAAAAGCCTCGAGATTAATTGCCCTAAGAACCCGAATCCATTTCTTTGTATTGAACCCCGCTGAACACACCAATAAACATGACAAACATACCCCTTTCAAAGAGGTAACAACATGTGAATTTAAAGCGGATCATTGCTGGGATTTCAGCCAATGTTCTCTCTTAATATGGCTGGGTGTCACCTTGAATTAAGTCGAATGCCAGACAATCGAATTAGGCCAACAAAAAAAAAAGAACACCGCGATACACTTTGAAATAATCGTAATAATTTATCTTCAGTAGATATTCATGTACGTTTTATCGTGAGGTTACCTTTTAATACGAAATCATTTTGGTATGTTACTGTTTTATACAGAGCAACAATATGGGTTCATGTTATTCGCTTCTTGCAAAAACCGAATTTCCTTATACAGATGACGGCACTAGAGACTGAAAGTTTTCTGCACTGAGGCTTTCGTTACGATATCCCTATGATCAAACTATTATAATCAATGTAATCCTTTCTGTGGCTCGATAAATAGAAAGTAACTGTGTTTAATTTCTTAAGAGGTGTTATATGATCGCCAAACTAATGGTTCACAATAAACGGACCGACCCCATTTGCTACTCCCCCGTTATAGAGACATTACATTCCAAATTTAAATATAGGTCGCTTCTGCATTTCCATTCTTCCATAAAATCCAGTTTTGTGCTTAATTTTACACCAATATATGTTATTACCATCTTCTCTTTTTTTTTTTTTTTTAGGTATGTCATTACCGAAGGAGCGTTTGAGAATAGGCTTAACAGCAGTTGAACAGATCGCCGAGGTCGTGAGGTACGCACATGAGAACGACCTGCGGTTACGGGCAGTCGGGTCAGGAGCATCGTGGTCGAAGCTCACCAACGTTCGAGACATCCTTATCGGTAAGAGAAGATATGCTTTCATATTTATCTCCTTGTTGAAGATTAGATAAAATTAAGAACGTTTTCCATCTTAGTCTGGTATAGAGGTATCAATAGCTCAAAAAGGAAGGTGTTGGGAAAACGAGACCCCAAAAATGTATAAATGTTTCGGTGCATGTTCATGTAGTCACATTATTCAAGACGAGGCTTTATTAATTTTCTTTGTTTGGGTTGATTTTTCAAAAAGATATGCGGGATCTGACACGGATCGTCCGAGCATCACCTCAAAACACCGACGGCTCAATCTACCACATCGAGGTCCAAGGAGGCAAGATCTTACACGACTTCGTCCGGGAGATCGACTCCAAGTACGGCATGAGCTTACCTTGTATGGGCAACTATGCAGGCCAGACGATTGCGGGAATCATCAGTACTTCAACGCATGGCACCGGCCAGGACTACCCAACCATGGTAAGATGTCCTCATAATTCTTAAGGGTATCTGATCATGGGGCCTCTTTCCATACAATACCATAAGGACATACGCAATTTATTGGAAGTCGCATAATGGTACTAATCGCAGGGCTGACAGGAAACGACCTTGCTTCAAACCAAGATGAGTGTCTATACAAGATAATTTAGCAAATTCTAGGTATCCTCTTTTGTCATAAGAACAAAAATGTATCCCTTTTGTATGAAAACATTCAACCAATCGAACAAGTCATCTATGCCTTGTTTGCTGTTTTCATCTAGACCTACTTATGTGTCTTACGTTTCATTCTTGACCTGGACATCGTTTTCATTCTTTATAATCCGCAGTCGAATTTCGTCATCGAGGTCCATATGGTTGTCGCCAGGGGCATCCAGATCAAGGTCAGGTTACCGAAAAATGGCGAAGCAGAAGAAGACTTCGAATCGGTGACGCGGCGCGTCGAAGCGGCAAAGTTTGGCGATCCTCCTCTCGAGATCCAGAGCACGGAGGTGTTCCGAGCGGTCGCCGTCGGCTTCGGTTCCTTGGGCGTCATCTATTCCGTCACCCTCGAGTGCATTCCCGTCTTCAACATCGCCGAAACGCGCCAGTACATTGACATTGAATGGCCGGAGAAATCCGAGGAATTCCGAATTCCCGAAGAGCTCCGAGCGCTGTCCAAGGGACACGGGAAGTTCTTTTCGTTTTTTGTGAATCCTTTTCCAAGGGGAGGTGATGAGAAGAATGAAAACGGAAACAGGACGCTAAAAGCGGTGTATTTGTCAGGAGAAAAGACTCTCGAAACGGGGACATGCCAGTGTAATATGTGTATGGATATGCAGTGCTTTACATGTACAGGGTGCAGAGGACAAAGTGCGTGCCAGATTGTTCAGGTGAGTCTATGCTCGAAGTCTCCGATTAATCTCCAAGGATCTTTAATCATATTACTATAAAACTGTCGTTCATTCATTTATTAATATATTTATTCCCTGTTATGGTGTGATTTCATATATATATTACTTTTAGTATCATCTACATTCCTAGTGAATGTTTCATTCTACTTCTTCTACTACTTCTTCTACTACTTCTTCTACTACTTCTTCTACTGCTGCTTCTACTACTGCTTCTACTACTTCTTCTACTACTTCTTCTACTACTTCTTCTACTACTTCTACTACTTCTTCTACTACTTCTTCTACCACTACTTCTACATCCGATTTCTACTTCTTCAGCTACTTCTTCTGCTACTTTCTACTGCTTTTTCCTTCATATATTTTAATTTCTTCTCCTAATTCTGGTACGTTCCACTACACTTTCTTCATTGCTAGATTTCTTTCATTCCTGTGTTTCTAATCAAATATTTTCATTTTACTTCCACAATTTTGGCAGCTTAAATTACCTTTCTTTAAAATCAGCTTAAAATCATGTCACGCCTCTCAGTAATAATACCATTTTCCTCTTATTCCTTTGATACATATACCTTTGTGTCAATGATGTAAGTTAGCCTTTCACATTTGCTGTTCATTATATCGCATGATTTGCATTTCACACGAGAAACAGAAGACTGCTGATTATTGTGTATCAGGCGATTAGAAGGGTGGCATAACCCGAGTTTTGCCTGACATGTTTGCCTGAGTGCCGATAAGCTGATTCGTTCGAAAGCAAACTGTTATTGATACGGGTTACAGGAGTCGTAATGTGTAATAAGTAAGATAAGTCGATAGGAACATGGAACAATTGACCTCTTATCAAATAAACTAGTTTACCCAAATGATCAGCCTCATGTTTTAACGCTGTCTTACAAGAAAGGAAAGACGAGAGGGAAAAGGAGACCGATAGAAAAAAGGGCTTCACACGTGCCTCATTTCAGTAACCATAAACCCAAATTTTCCGTTTTTCTTGGGGTGTTAATTTCAAAGCTGGGCGATGTAAGCCTAAACCTTTCAGTCTGAAACACAAGGCTGCCTGTGTTTGTGTAAAATCTTCCGTAAAGGAACACTCGCTTTAACCCTGCGGGGCGGAGTGTGACTCGACAGTCCAAGTTTGTGGGGGCAGTCTCAGACTTCGTTTTTTTTCTCCAAGGGTCGCGTTCACACCCGTAAGAAGCACTCATAAACTTCCAGCTCGAGATGACAATGACTAACTTATATCTTCAAAATAAAGGTGTTTTTTAATAAAGGAAAGAATGTTTGATAATCACTGTAGTAAAGCCTTGGAATGCCGCTACCATGGCTTAGGACACAGACGCCTTCGTCAAGAGTGTGGAGGCACCCTGACAAGACCACCATTTCTAAACTACAAGTTATTCTTTTTCAAATTCAGAGAGTAAATACCATCTGGGTAGGTGTGAAACTCCAAGATGGCCGCTGGCAGTTTGTTCTGGTGGCGTAGTATTATGCTATCGTGGTTTATTGGGAAAAAGTACAAGGAGCAAGTTTGGGTCTAAGAGCTCTGCCGCCCGACCGTCATCGCGGGGACCTTGTTGCTTTAACGTGACATGGCGTAAAGAACGAGCGAAAGTGGCCCCGCCGATACGCCATCTTCTGACCGATTTGCCGCCATCTTGAAAGGTCAAAAGGTCATTAACGAGAGCGATGGAAATGTGCCTTTGGCGATCATTAGGGGAATGGAAGAAATATATCTCGATAGCTCATGAAACATTGTGAAATACATCCCTCACGACATTAAACCTGTTAATCCCCCATAGCAATTGGTTTCAGGATATCAAAAACAAAACTTGGCATGCATGTGTCTTTGATATTTAGCTAAATGCGATGATCGTTTGATAAAAACCAATAACAGAAATCATGAATGTTTTTCTTCTGATTGCAGACGGATTGTTCGGCGAGCTGTTTTCAGATGATAACGCGGTTTATGCCCTGCAGTTTGGCGTATTTTGCCGACTGCGGCCTGCAGCAGTTTGCAAGGGGGAAGATCTACATCCAGAGGTGGTACAACGTGCTCACATTCACCAATGGCAATATCCAGTAAGTTTTCCTGCAGAATAAACAAACACACCCACCAAATATTCATCTCAACAAAAACACTCCTCCAGGAATATCATGATTTTGTTCTCACCAAGCGTTTACATGCAGTCATTTTTCTGAAGTATTTTACAAAAGAGGGTTGGTGTCACACTAAACAAACCAAGCCATAATTGGAAGAAAACAAAATACGTTGATTTATGACATATAAAATATTTATAATATACTATGTTAATTTCATATTAGCAAGATTTATTTCAGAATATCCTTAGTCATAGGCTAATAATATTTCTGTTTTTCCTCGACAGCGTTAAGACAGCCGAGTACTGTGTCCCGTTGTCGAACTTAGATGGCGCCCTACGAGATATCCTCAAGATCATGCAGCAGTATGGCGAGATGTTCGGTTCTTACACGCTGCTGCCCGTCTATGTCCGGATGGTCAAGGCTGACGATCTCTACCTTAGTCCCGCAAATAGGAATAGGATGGATGGTTCAACGTCAGATCGATTCTGCTTCATTGAGGTAAGGACTAAAATATTATCAAAGTACTTTGCAGACAAACCTTATCCTTGAGCATGGCATTCAGTTTAGGTGAAATGATATGAATATCGTGACGTTTGTGTGGGCAGAATTTTGCAGATGTTTCAAAGAGCCAAGGAAAGGTTCCTTTGTAAAAATGTAGTTTAGTCGATCCTTGTAAACAGCTTTAAATTGGAAGCTTTTACGAGACCTATTTGATGTCGATTTTGCCATCATTCAAGAAAGTTCCATGGAGGGGCTTTGGGGCAATTTCGCTGGTGCACTTGAACGTGCCTATGCGTCATGTAACTGAAACGGGCCACCACCGTGGATATTGCAAAATATCACGAGGAGCAACGAAAACGTTATTAGTGTAAACTTGAGCAGCAATCAGAGAACACTTAGGAGCATGTCAATAGTTCACGACAGAATAAAGTACCGCGACCTTTTTTTTTTGCTCTCATAACAGCGGAACATTTAACAACGGCTCACAATAAAGGTAGAGCAGAAAAGAGGAGAAAGGAAAGGGAAAGGAGAGTCTAGAAAGGCAGGGTGTGTGTAAGGGGGGGGGGGTCGAAATTTCGAGTCAGAAAGAAAAAATGTGTTCTGTGTCGAGGAAGAATATCACAAAATATCACAAACATTTACCGCAAAATAAACCGAATAGAGTCGTCTCAATTATGAGGCGCCGACGGCGAAAACTTTCCGTGACGATTCTCGAGAAATGCCGTCGTAGGATCCTGACAGCTTATGCGGGCCCTCGGGCACAGTCGCCTGCGCCAACATTTGAAACAGATTTTTCACCAAATACTTTTGCTCTCTTCCCCCAAATAGTTAAGAAATATAAAGCGGATTTTTTTTCTTCTTTAAAAGCCAACCTTGTTTTCATATTTTCTTTTCAACCCAAGTCCCCTCACTATCAATAAATCTCATAACTATTGTTGGTTTGGTCTCTGAGAAGTAGTTTTGAAAAGCGGCTATAGTCTGGAATTCCAGAGTATATTTGGTTACTTATCTTATTGTTTTTCGTAATAAAATCAGTTTGTGGTGAATTTGGGGAATTTGGTATGAAGTGTAGCATATTATTATTAATAAATCCAATTATGATGTGCCCTTGTGCGAAGTATCCTTTCCAATTGATCAAATAACTGACCCCTTTTGTGAAAGTAATACAGATTAAAAGAAGGTTGTCTACATTAATTAACTTTCTAAATTGACCTGGAATATCAGGCGTTGCGAACCTCTTGTGTTGTCCGTAGCCTAAATATATAACTTGCCATGATCTACCTAGCTATATGGAAACTGATGTTTTAAGTTTGTAGACATCGTTTCTAGTCTACGTGGCAGATGACTATATTACATAGGTAAATCTAGTATACAAAATTCTTGGTAGAAGCATAAACATTTTCCTGTTGATTGCAATCAAAATTTCCCTTTTCACCGTCTCAGATGAAACATAACTTGATTACAAACTTTAATCCACTATTTGGTGACAATATTTTCTTGTCCAACGTAAACCCTCTTCTCAATGGGATAAACAAAAAAGCAACAACAAAATTTAAATGAAAATCCTAGTACTACATTGCTTGATCTCATATTCATTGGACAACGATGATGTTCGCAAGTGGATTTCAGTTTCCCACGCTGTTGATTCGTATTGTATCAGGACATTTCGTGAATGAATGCATTACAAAGCTCGATTATTGCAAGTCAGCGTTAACATTAGTCACACCATAAGAAGACATTTGGAGCAAGGAGGGAAATAATGAGGCGCAGAGGAAACCTTGGCCGCCACAAAGAAAGGAAGAGGGCGTCTCACAAGAGAAAGATGGAAACACTAGAGAGGAGAAGCCAAAAGAGGAAATGGAAAGAAAGTGTGTGCCGGACCTGTCACGGTCAAGGCCACCCCGAAATACTTCAAGGAACCCACGAAGTGCAGGAACAGTCTTTGAGCTGCCGAGCTGAGAGAAAGTGCAATGATATTTGGAGAGTGCAAGCTCGCTTACAGGGGGAGGAAATGATCAGATTGCGTGACAAATTGATGAGGGGTGGGGCATGTGTTGTGAGATGTCTTGAGAAGTGGTTTTGTATCCATGAGATGGTTGCCAACACAATTTGAACATGTTACCATAACGGTTGTCAGAGCGATTCAGCTTGTGGAAGCGTTGCGGTTCTTACGGAGGCGATAAACCTTAAATCCATTCAAAAAGTAGAACTAGAATTATGATTTCCCTCGTATAATTTGACGAAAGGTACACTATGTTTCACCTCTTCCTGAAATATTGACTCGGCGAAAACTAATCGGGATGAGGTAGACCAACTGCTTCCAGTCTCTAAATAAGTATGTAATCCCATGAGGTAATGTGCCTTAGAACTTGGTGAAGATGGGGGGGGGGGGGGGAGCAACGCCCTTAATGTCACCCCTTCAGTGTGTTTGAAAGGGGTAACAATATCCCTATGTTACCCCCTTGATGGGTTGAATGGTAGGAAACAATGCAAGAATGATCCGCGTCGGATCACAGCTAATTATTTTCGAACGGAACCCGAAGCTTACCCCGATCGTTTCCGATGAGGTGGCCCGATTGCTACCTCGACAACAGGTTGCTGGAACACTTCCAGCGTTCATGCCTTCAGCAATAAACTCGGTGGGACATCTATCCACCTTCTCTCTCCTCCTTCTCATCTCGCGTCCTTTTTAGAATTTTCCTCCCATGCACAGCTCAATTAGCTAGTTTGAGATACATTTCGCACAAGAACACACGTGTTATTATTTTTGTTAAATACCAAATTGAAGAATCTACTGAAAAAAATACAAAACAAGTGCACGTGAAAGTTTTGTAAATCATTATTCATTTATGAACCAATGTTTCATTCAGCGATAACAGATGGAAATATTTATATTGTGATGAAAACAAAACGACTGGCAAAGTGTTGAGTGATTTTAATAATAACAAAACCTCCAGTATTTATTTATTTTCCATACGTCTTCAAGTTCACATTAAAAGGCCGAGAAGTAATTTTCCTATATCGGAATCATGGAAATAAATCTAAACGTTTTATGCTGATTGAAAAGATATATATATATATATATATATATATATATGTATATATATATATATATATATATATATTGATGTTTGATCTTATCTTATGTGTAATATGTTTTCAATCGCACTTGGAAAGCTACGGTTATTTAAAATTAGCACAAATCTTATCAGGAAGAAACTTAAACATTGTATGTTGATTGACTTGGGTTGGCTTCCGTTCTCCAACGGGGAAAAAACGGGTTCGGGTCATCTAAAATACACCGCAAAAATGTTGAGGATAGAAAATATCGACATGAAACAAATTAAGAGTAATTTGGAATGAGCCCATACCGATTCCAGTTCACCGAAGCGACCTACTTGGGAAGTACGATAATATCAAGAATAGCTTGCGGAACATTTGCTTGTGAATTTGCCATATTAAGGTAGCCTGGAGATAATTATTTGAAACGGAGTAAACGTGATTTTCACTTCCATACCTCCCCCTCCTCCCCCAACACAAAATGCCTAAATTGTTAAGTGCAACATTTTTATTTTTTTTGCTCGTAGAAATTGTTCATGTCAAAAAATATATATTTGAAAAAATTCTTCTTAGAATATTATGCTCATATCTTTAATTAACACATCAATAGCAAGAGAGAGTTTGTAGAGGAAAATGTTACTAGCTCCCCCATACCATATGATTTGTTATTTGTTATTTAGTATTTTAAATATGGATAGCCCTATAACTCTTATTAAAGGAGAAATTACTTTCTAGTTTCTACACAAATGTTAGAGTAAATTGAACAAGTGTGTCAGGTGGGAAATGTTTGAAATTTCAAATATGAACAGTTCACGAATTCTTCTGAAAAAAGAAACTGTTAGAAATTAAGAATGCCCCTGCTCCTACCCCCCCCCCCCAAAGAAAACTTAGTCACACCATGGTCACACCATGGACCTACTAAGAATGGTCACACCAATGTCTTGAGGGTCTCGCCAACCTGAAAACCTAGATCTTTTAAGGACGTGACACATCTTACAATCATGCTTAGCATCTCCTCTCCTCATCACTTTTGATGGTAATAAAATCCAATCGACTTGGGAAAAATAATAATTCCGTCTACTCATCATGCCCATCTCATCGGCAACAATAACAAGGGTTGTCCACTCCCGATGGACACGGCCTGACCTTTGTGTCATGATACGGTCAATTGAGTTTTCGAGGTGTCCTGTCAAAATGGCCAGGGTAAAGTGGGCCATCAAGTGCTTCCGTTGTCCTAACTCTGCCATCATGGTTTTGTCTCAACGGTTTAGGCCATGAGCATCACATTTTTATGAAGAGTGAACATGAATGATTTTTATCATGCGATGAAAAATATCGTCCAAAATGTGAGGAAATATTTGTTCTTGTTTTTCCCCAATACATTAATAAATACTGCAGGATAGATGGTATGAAATCTGAATCTCAAAATTCATTTTGTCACTTTAAAAATTATGAGTCTTAGACCCAAACTAAGATTGTGGTATTACTACTCCTCACGGTGCATTTCATGTATTACATTTATGTGCAGAAGTTTATAACATTCAAGGTTTTCAAGTCGGTTCTAAAATTCACTCGTGTTCATGCGTTGCATGATCTGATTTAGTTTAGGTTAAATGATTTCTGCAGATGAACATAAATCCATAAGTGTCGGAGATTACATAAATAGATTATTATGACAATCTTGTTTACTTTATATTCTGATGGATAACTCAGTATTTTCTTTTTCTCTTTCATTATTTCCACTTTGCAGGTTCCTTTCCTGCCTGGAGCATACGGCATCGACGAGTTCCACAAAAAGATAGAGGATCATCTCTATGCCAACTACAAGGCACGTCCACACTGGAGTAAGAACAACTTCTTGAACCATAAGCGCGTACAGCAGCTCTACCCCGAGCTCGAGAAATGGAAACAGATCTATCTGCTTTTCAACCGGGACGGGACATTCGACAACGAGTTCACACGGAAGTGTGGCTTTGAGGATTTCCACCCAACGGACGATGAAACGGTGGACGACCACAGATGGCGAGGGGAACATGGGAAGTGTTGCTCCTGCGAGAGATTGGACTCTGGAGCGAACACAGGAGGTGCTGACGTGAACGTGGAATGTGGCGCGCAATCGCGGATTGACGATAGGGACTCGGGTTCGAATCTCAGTTCAAATGGAGGAAGTAGGACAGTGGAAGCTGTGGTCGAGGATGTGAGGGCAGAATTATGGGTGAAGAGAGACTCGGGGAGACATGTAAGTCCGTGTTCGTGCGACGACTCCACGCTGCGAATCCCCATGGGCAAGTCGGGTGCAATAGTGCAGCAACCCACGAGATCGTCGCTACCACCCTTGTTCGTCGAAAGAACTCCGCTTGCAGCTGACATGAGGGAGGTCGTCGAGAGCGCGGCGCGGCACGGGTGCGGTGCCGAGTCGCAGCAGGGAAGTGACACTTACCCCCACCCCTTGCCTACGGTGAAATCCACGCTGGTTTGAAAGTAAATACCCAAAAGGGAAAGGACACTTATTTCCCTCATGGTTTGTTCTTGGACGCAATACCACAGATCGGTTTATCCCGGTTTATTGTTTAGAGTTGTGGTTGGAACGCGAATTCCAAAACAGTTCAAGTATAGACATAACAAGAATTCGGCATTGCAGGGAGAGAAAATAATTAGTCCAAGGTGCCGAGGAGTCGTCGAGATCTGAGTCAACTTCAAATTTCGGTGTTACCACAATATGTCTTCTTCGCAAACCACAGATCGCCTTCGTAATGGAGAGCTTGATGTGTTAATTGACACAGGATCATCACTTGAGAAAACGCGGGAAGACGAGAGATGTTTACACGGGACAACATGAACATGGATCGTCTGCCAAGAGTTCATGCTGCTTGTGGCCTGACCCCTAGAGGAACAACGGGTCAAGATGCGGTTAGTCTCACTTACCAGGGGTTACATCCGATGAATCATACAAATGAGATAGATTGTGTCATCTTACTGTCACTCAAATTCAAAGAGCTTAATTATTTGAGGAGAAAAGTTATTTGGGATTCTTCAGATAATGGAAAGATGGCATGCCAATATTTTGGCAATTAAAGGGGTTCCTCTTTCCCAATGGTTCATGAGTATAATTATAATCCAAGCGATGTTGACAATTTTGAAATTAAATAGTTTAACACTCTCAACTCACCTCTAACGATATCTCTTAAACATAGACACATAGAGAGAGAGAGAGTAACAAAAAGAGAAAGAGAGAGAGAGAGAGAGAGAGAGAGAAAGCAGTTGGTTAAAATATATTGATTATGGAGGCGATTGAGGCGACGGAGCAGACGTGTAACTACGATTTTATATGTTATATTTTCTTTAAAGGAGATATAAATTAATGTATATAACTCTCATTTAATGGCAATCGAAAAAGTTCTTTGTTCCATCGATGCAACAGATCGAGGATAGAAAACGACTTTTGGCAATTTTCCATATTTTAGCATTTTCGGAGAAAGGACAGTGTAATTGCGATAAAAAAGGTATCAATTTGAAACCACTGGTCCTTTGCTTTCTTAGACATAAATTTAATGATAGTTTTCTTTGTCGTCATGCAAGTAAATTTCAGAGAATTCTGTACATTTCCATGCAAAGGGGGACAGATCTTGCCCATCATGCAATCGTTATTTACACTGCAGACAAGAATCAAAATGTGCTTTCATAGCCTTCATACCGACACAAAAAAAATCCAGGCAGGGGTACGTGTACATGGTGTTTGAGAGAGGGTGCAAGAAAGAAAACATAGAGAGAAAGAGAGAGAAAGAGAAAGAGAGGAGGGAAAGGGTAAAAGCGGGGTGTGTGTGTGTTTGAGAGAAAAATAAAGAAAGAGGGGGGGGGGGGAGGAGACCAATACGTATTGGTTTAGTGTGTCATACCGAAAATAGCACAAAACTGAGAACTGGAGGTGATAATATGAAAATAGGCATTTATTATCTTTGACAGAGTGCCTGGGGTTATAAAGGAAGTGAAGGAGAAATGGGCAATAATACGCTATTTATTTATTTTGACTCAATACGCTCACGAACTTGTGTATCAACTTTAGAAGGATTTGAATGTTTTTGTCCCGTCTCGATTGTATTACCACGTCTTTATCCCTCGAAGTCTATTTGGCAATGGGAAATATTTTCTTTTAGTTGTTGATCCAGGAGTACTGCTTTTATTGAGAGAAAGTTTTAAATTTCATTTGGAATCTTAGTACTACGAGATAAATGTGTATAGAATTAATGTCGAAACATGCTTCGACGCCATTACAAAAACTCTGCGTTGCCATTTGGTATCTGGATTTTAAGCATACGACTTGTTCGAAACAATAGGCAAGCCAATGATTAATTTTCATACTATATTTGTTATTTTTAAAAGTAATACTTTTATAATTACTACTGATGTGTTTATTAGTGTGAGGTCTTGTTTATATGCAAAACTGCATAATCCCAGACAATGATGGTCGTTTGCCGAAAAAAGTTTGATGTAACATGTACAAAGTGGATATATGCTATTTGGTGCGAATCTAGTGCCTTTAAACATCTTACTCTGTCTTCCCTAAAATCAGTCATGCTTATGTTTTAAAATTTAAGAGCAAATCACTCACTATTTCTCTTATAGGAGAAGGGATTCAGAATTCTTTGAATCCTTAAATAAAAACATGCGTAGCAGTAAGACAATAGACGAACTCGTCTTAAAAAAGTGTATACATTTGAAAGTATTGAAGTTTATAAATTAGTCAAGACTTATGAAGTCGGTATGTCCTGTAAAGGCGTGTTAATATTTTTATTGTATATCGAGGAACACTGTATTCATGTCAACAATATACAACATGTTTTTACGAAAGTAAAGACTTCACTGATTTGTACTTTTCTATGTGTTTATAATGTCTGTACTAACTATTGCACATAGTTCGTTTCGCTAAGATAATTTATGTAAAGTTTAATTTGTCATAAATGTGTTGGGCATCCGTGTGAGTCAAGGACCAAATTTGTCCGTTTAATTTATATCAAATCATTATTACTTTGTATAGATATTGTATATATGTATAAATATATTCTTGCTTGAATCTTATTTAAAATATTTATTTATATAGAGAAGAGGCCCGAGAAGCCCAATACCAGGCATTAATATCGAATGATAAATGTAATTATAGCAATGCCTATTTGTTATCTCTTATTCCCGTTGCACACAATGCGTCATTTTGAATGCGTCAATACATGCCCTAATCAAGCCTATGGAGGCAATTAGTGCATGCGCTATACATTCAAAGACATATTTGCTACGTTCATTTTTATATTCACATGTTGTACAATGTAACTCTCATAAGGCGCCTTAAGTAACAATGCCATTCGCTGACGCAACCGACATCATGACGCATTGCGTCGTTGCAGGTGGTGAGCACTTGTAAAATCACCAGTTTCTTTTTTTCTTCAATCAAATACATAACTACCGACCTTTGTTTCTTTTGTTAGACATGTTTAATGACTTAATTTACAGTGATGGATATATCATATGTTTTCCATGTCTGAGATTCCATTTGAACTTGATTTAATACATTTGGAGGAGATCATATGTTTGATGGCGATAAGAGACTTCCTTAAAAAAGGATTAAGGGAATTTCTTCACACAAAGTAGCTCGAATATTTAACAAACATGTATTCAAACGTTTAATATATATCTTCCATTTCTCAGTAGACAACTCATCTTCCGTCCTATATGTTTTCAGCAGAACTGCACAATTTTAATAAAATGTCTTCCAATTTTTCAAAGTTTTCCAACACAAAGTGGACTTTCTTCGGAAAGTTCTCCAGATTGATAATCTGCTAAGTGATTTATCAGCATTCGTAACACATGATATTGCCTTATAGAAGCAGTTATTTCATAAACCTATTTTTCGCTCAAATTTATTTATATGAAACAACTTTATCATTAAATGAAATGTGCTATTTATGAAATATTTTGAACAATTTTCAATAAAATATTATTTGTACATTGGAAATACTACTTATACAGTTTGTACTCGTGGTTTCTGTTCGTCGGATATTCGAAGGAAGTATGAGAGAACGAGGGATATATAAAGAGAGTTAGAGATGATAGTGAAGTAGAGAGAGAGAGAGAGAGAGAGAGAGAGAGAGAGTGGGGGCAATTCAAGAGTGATTCAAAGAGAAAGAGGGATGGAAAAAGAAGATAGAGACGACGGAGGGGGAAGAGTGGGAGGAAAGCTTGGAGAAGGAGAGAGGGACGGGGAGAGAAGAGAAAGACAGGGAGAAGGGGCAATTAACGAGTGGTACAAAGAGAAAGAGAGATGGAGAGTGGAGAAAGTGAACGGGGACGGGGAAGAGTGGGAGGAGAGCCTGCATGGAGAGGGAGAGGGAGAGAGGGAGAGAGGGGGGGGGGGGGAGGAAGGGGCGGGAGAGGAATGGCGGAGAGCGAGAGTGGGAGTCAAGAGGAATGGAAGGGAGGGATTGTTGGAAAGGGAGAGTGAAAGTGAGATTTAAAAAATATATATAAGTAAAATACAAAGAAAGTAGAACATTTAAAGAAAGACAAAGAGAGCGAGTACAGTCAATCCCGCCTTAGTGGCCACATCACTATAAAGGCCTCTTGTCTGCATTTTGTCTCTTTCGATGGGGAAATGTGTGTTGTAGAATTCGTCTGTTAAGGCCACCTGTCTAAAATGGCCACTTTCTTTGTTTCCCTTGGGTGGCCTTAATAGACAGATTTGACTGTGAGTATGAATTTAATTAGAAAGCTACTTAATTTTTAAATGAATTTGTAAGAGAGAACAATGTTCAATGAAGCATTATCCAAGCGCATACCAATATATAATTATCATAATCAACCTATGAATTAATATCATTATAAAAATAACATTGTCTTACTTACGCATGGTAGCCGCATCAAGATTTATAACTGCTTGTCTAATTAGATCTAACCAAGCATTACTAGGTATACCCGTTTGATACACCTGGATTGGGAGGGAAAAATGTAGACAAAACACCTTGTCCAAGGATGTAAGTACCAAACAAGGATCGAATCAAGAACCTTCCATATGAGAGTCAACAGGCTCCACATTAAAGATGTTTATCAGGTCATTTTACTTTTAGTTGAGTTGAGACTTCAAACAACTGCACTTTCAATATCGACACATCTTTTACTTTGAGTCAAAATTGCTTTCTTCTTTCTTTTTCTCTTTTAAAACTCTTGGCCTCTCTAGAAAGGTGACGACCCTGTAAAAGGCCCCCTTTTATGGAGCTATTTTTTTTCTCGGACATTTCATTTGGATATTTCTTCTCTTATCCCCTGTATGAAAGGTGATCCTCGATTTCAACCACTTTCGGGCAATAAAGAGTTATGACTTCAGTGTTTATTCGCTCAACAAAAGCTAAAAATACAGCCCGGGTGTGAAATCGGATCGAGACTTTGTAAAAGCCATGCTTTCCGGCCTGGCCAAGTTCAAGATCATATTCTCACCTCAATCTGACCACGATCAAAGCACCCAAAGTTCCGTTAACGCGGCAAATTATGGAAAAATAAATCAACATGGAGGATTAGATTGCACAGGTGTGTTCAGAAGTAAGATTAAATCAGCGCGCCCGTTCACACATACCCAGCGCGCTTTTGCGGCGATACCAATTCACGAAGTCGAAGAAAAAAAAATGCACTTGAGGCTTCAATGGCTGACGTAGGACTACGTCAACAAGTGCAAATAAAATAGGACAAAAAGGTTGGCTGAATGTTTATTGCAAACGATGGCACGATAACCCGAATTTTCTTCAAAGGCTCGGTTAACTTAGCTAGTAACGCAATCTAAATGACGCCTTGAAGGTCGCATGATCATTAACAACGAGGAGCCATTTTGATTTCATAATTACCTACGCTAATTATCCCATAAAAACAATAAAAAGTTACCTAACGCAATTTTTCCACTGTAATGTTTGCACTCATTTAATAAACGATGTCAGTCCCACAAGACACGGTAAAGACTGCGTCAGTAGCTGACGCAATCTTCCGTCAGCAGAATGACGCCTCGCAAGCAACAGACATATAAAACTTGCAATATTTCACACCTCGCCAACAAATGGAGACTTTTTTTTTATAGTGAGAGAGGGGCCGGAATTGGATCCGCAAGAAATT